CGGCTCTTTCGTGATTGAGAATTGTGTGATTAAAGATCGACAATGCAAGTGGTGCGTTATTTTTGCATGCCACTGTAGTAGATCATTATAAAGAGGAGGATCTTTTAGATCTTCCTTCCGGTTAATAGAATCTTTTTCCGGACCCGGGTTTGTATTTGTAGAAAATTCGAATAAAAGGAAACCAGTGTCAATCTGGATAAATGATATCGATATTCTTTTTATACAATGACATATTTAGCAATGATTCTAATCATATTTTTCATGTGAAAAATATAGAAAAATCAATTGCTAAATTTACAGTATACTGTATCATTCTTCAAATACATATTCTTTCAAATTTCTTTAAAAAAGCACTTAGAAAAATTCTTATAAAAAATAAATAATACTGAAATATTAAATCATGTTTAATTAAGAAGTCTGTTCTGTTAGTTTGTTAGTTAAATAAGCAATTAGATATTTTAATATATAAAAAACAATTATTAATGTTACCGTTTAGATATTAGCGTTTTCAGAGACATTTCTTTAAGAATCAGAAAGTAGAAACTTTGTAAAGAAATTACGAATAGGTTTGTTACTTGAAAGACTACACACGAAAAACTTTACGTAACCACTGCATCCTCATCTTTTCTGAAGTCAATTCTTTTGTTAACCAATAAATTGACTTATGCAAGTCTTTTTCCGTTCCCATACCAATCATATAAATAAATGCCAAACGTCTTCGTGCTGCGCTGTGCCCATTTTCAGCAGCCGATTTGATCAAAGTAAACGACTTCAAATGATTGGCTGGTCGATTAGTAGTAGATAGTAAAGCAAGTTTATATTTGCACAAATAATTTCCGGTACGCCCAAATTTCTCGTATAATTTATAAGCATCCACTTGATTTTTGGCGACTCCTTTACCGATTTCTGTACATTGCGCAATAAGATATTGACTATAGATGTTGGATGGATCAATTTGACATGCTTTTTCGTACTGGAGAAACGCGAAATCGGGACGTTTTTTGATAATGCTTAGCCATTGGTAATGCCAACCCAAAAAACATAATCTTCTGCAGTAATTGCGTTATCATTTAAATATTTGCAAAATTTTTTAAGGTTTATTCCACTAGGTCTCATTATCGAAAGAAGTCTATCTTGTATGTAATTGTCAGAATGGCCCTTTCTTAATTCACTAAAAAAGGCTTCCAATAAATTTTTCTTTAAATTTTCCATGTTTTAGTAAATACATGTACCTGTATCTGTACATGAATTTTGGAAGAAGTGGTAGTTTACGTTAATGTCACACTGACGACTAACAACGTAACGTTATGTACATGTACATACTGCAAGAGTCACGAGTTCTCTTTTCGAAAAGGCAAACGCTATGTTGCAAATCATCCAATAATTTAAACATATACATGTATAAAGAAATTTTATATACAGTATAATATTTAAATGAAAAAATATCAGTTTAATAATTTTAAGAAGTCCATATATTATAAAACTATGCATTTTATTTTATTATTTATATTTTTTATTAAGATTTTAATTTTTCTTTTGTAAAATTTCAGCATTGCTATTAAAAATTACAATGATTATTATACAAATATAACAAATTCAATCCATCATAAAAAAATTTACGAATTCTTATTGCTTTATAAGCATACATCGATTTTTTTCCATTCTTATCTTATATCTGCTCTCGGTTCTTGTCAAGTATACCAATTTCAAAGCTTTTTTCAAAATAATTCATTAGTGTGATTGAGACAAAGGGGTGGCTATTATTTGGGGCAAGGCTCACTTCTAGTATGGACAAATACGCGTATAGTCGAACACTATACATGTACATACTACATGTATACGCACTCTATGTAAAAATAGTGATCAACGTTCTTTGATATTTATATCGCTATTACTATCACTTAAAGTCTCTCTGGTTATCAAGTTCTTGCTCAATTTTATTATGCGCTGTTTCCATATTTCTTTCTACGTCACTTTCATTATCAATATAACATTTATCTCAATAATGCGTTTCTCAAAAAGTTTTTTTCGTGGTTCTGGAAGAGATTGCAATTTACGATTGCTATAATTAAAAACTAATTTAAAGAATACGAATATTACTTAAATGATTTCTTTTTTTTCTACGAATATGTCAAAAGCCGACCAGGTGCTGTTGGAATCGTTAAGATACAAAAGGGAAAGTTTTACGAAAAAAAAGTTTTTCTAACATCGATTAAATATACCTGGTTCCTATACTCATATTAAAGCTAATAACCTAGAGAACATCTAAAAAAGCCTAAAAAATATATTAATGTTGTTGACTACATGAATACTTTTAATAGTGAAATTTTAACTCTAAATAGTTTAGCTATCAATAAGGATTTGACCTAATAACGATAATGTGTCTCCTAATGAGAACTATTTGCATATCAATTAGTTTAGTTATTAGATCCCGAAGTACCAGATCAATGCTAGTAAAATTAACTGTTATTTTTACTAGCATTGATCTGGTACTTCGGGATCTAATAACTAAACTAATTGATATGCAAATAGTTCTCATTAGGAGACACATTCTTTATTAGTTCAACAAAACTATTTGAAGCTAAAATTTAACTACCGCTACGGAAAAGTATTTATGTAGATCATTCTACATGTATAATATTAATATCTTTTTTTAGAAATTCTCAGCTTTGAGGGTATATTTTAATCGGTGTTTGAGTCACTAGAATTTTTTTCATAAAACTTTTGTGCTGCATTTCTGTTACTAATAAACTAACTTTCTTTATATTATATAAGCTGACGCCGAATAATAATTTTCTGGATAAAGTGTCCAGTTTATTGCATTTCTGTGCAGTAATTTGCTGAGATATTGCATCTCAAAGTTACTAGATTTTTTAATTTGATCATCTGGTTCTTTTATTTTTAAATAATTAAAAAATTTAATTTTTCAATAGATTTTTTTGATTATACATTTCTTTATCAACTAAAAGATTTTTGCAGAGAGGTGAAAAAAAATTAGGTTTTATATCAAATAAAGACAATAATCTATAATTTAGCACAATTTTTTCGAATCCTTCAGATTTTTTTGAAAGATCTGCAAAGTGATCATTTTTGATTATTAAAAGATTTTTGAGTTCACTTTGCAATTAGAATAAACTTTCAAAAAGCTGATAATTTTCAAAAACTATAAGTTAAAATATAGATTATTGGTTTTATTTGATATAAAAACAAAAAAATTTATTAACAAGATTAAAAAGTTATATGATGACAAGTCTTAAATTACCAATTATTCAATTTACGAAATCTATCAACTCAATATAGAGGCAAATTTCATCAGTAACTTTGTAAACCTATTATAAAGGATAAAGTTATTAAAAATTTTGTCTCTATGATAAGTTAATAAAATCATTTACTGGATCGGGCTCAATCCAAATCTGAAATGATCCGAAATGATAATGTTCGGGTCGGATCAGGTATAACAAGACCAATGTATAACAGAAAAATTTAAAAACGATACATGTATAAACTAATGTAAAAAACTGAAAAATAACTTATCTTGAAATTTCATCTATGAAACTACTTTCTGTGTTCTAACAAAAAATGCTTGTGAAATTTTACTATATACACTTGTGCGTGCAAGATACAATATAATTCTAACTCTGACTCTAATACAACCCTAATCTTAAATTTTATTAAAGTTTTATATCTTATAATTTGTCAGCATGGCTAAGAAATTACTGTGACCACATTTACATGACCTATATCTTTTACCACTCAATCAAAATCATCGGATCAATCTGAACTGGCCAGATCTTACCATTTCATATCCGATGAAATCCGGAATGAAACAAAACCAATCTGATTTTTTCAGATTGAAAAATAGCAATCTGAACCGGGAACGAAGTTTCATATTCAGTTCGGGTCACAGATTGATCCGAACTGAATGAGGCTTTAGTTAAGGCTTCTGGCATTATCTAAAGAAAATTTCAATATTTATTTTAAAATTTTCTAATTTTTATCACTTCTTTGTACATGTAATCATTTTATAATGCGAATTGTAAAATCATATTATAAATTAAACAAATCCTGTTATAAACCATATAAATTCTGCAAATTACAACAGAATTGCAGATTTTTGCAAATGAAAAATCTGTAAAAAAAATGGTTATTATATTTTGGATAATAATTATTAATAAAAGTTAAATCTCATTCATTTTATCACTTCCAAAAAAGCATAAAGCTAATATTTCATTAATCTGTATTGCTACATGTATTGATAATGTTAGATATCTACCAATCATAATTGACTAAAATCATGTAGTTTTATCCAACAAACATTTGCTGACTGACATTAACTAATAAACATGACTAGAATTTTCTAAGCAAAGCGCTAAACGAGATATTATTTAAAAAAAAATTTGTTTCTAAGTTGATAAAATGTCAATTGGATCCAATACTGATATCATATCTATATGTGTAAATCACTATCTGTATGATTATATATATAGTAACTCATGGAATAAATTGGAACATGGAAAAAAATTGGCAAGATATGAATATCTCATCATTAAAGAATTGTATAGAGTCAAAGATTGATGCATTTTATTCATTAAAATGCTGCTTGTCAATCAATACAAATTTTATTTTCATCCATCATTTATATTTTACAAAATAATTTTTTATTTTTTTAGCATTTCATATAATATAACTAGAGATGGGCAAATGCATGCATAGTTTATTACTATGCATACTATGTGTATTATATGTATAATATGCATTTATACATTGTATATACATGTAATACATATATAGTAATCATCTGATATATTAAATTATTTATTATCATTATCATCCTGATATTTACTTTCATTATTATTCTGATACTTTCATCACTTTCATTTTCAGTATAATATCAATTGATACTTATTTTATTATTAATACTTTTTTTGACAATTTTTTTTGATTATCTGGAGATGTTTGTAATTTATAATTATTATAAATATAAACTAATTTAAAAACATGCTTACTATTTAAACAATTTCTTTTTTTATTATGAATATTTGCAAAAGCTGACCAGTTATATTCAGAAGTTACAGATAATATTGAAATTATTAGGCTAATATGTTAATTCAGATACTACTTGTGTAAAATTTGCAATCTACCAAATAATTAGATTAATATTATCAATATACTTCCATATTAATATATTACTAAAAAGATCTGATTTTGCTTTGTATTATATAAGTTAATTTCTAATAATAATTTTATTATCAGGATAATAATTATTAATAAAAGTTAAAATTTTATTTATGTTATTATTTGATATTTATCTTCAAAAAAGTATGAATCTAATAAATAAGTAATCAACATAATTAGATTATAAATTTTTTCCTATCTTGTAATTAATATTTCATTCATTTATATTATTATTGATAAACTTAAAATAGTTAATAAAATTATAAATATAATTATTAATTAATATTAATTTTAAAATATTATAATATTTAATAACTCATCTTCTAATTTTTTTAAAGCTTTATATCATTTATAAAAATAAGAAAGTTTTAAAGTATCACTTTTAAAAATTATAATTTCTTTAGCAATTTCTTCAAGAATTACAAGTTCTGTAATTTCTTTTCAAAATCTTTATTTAATATATTATTTTTAATTGATTTATTTATTATTATATTTAAATTAGTTAAAATTTTATGAATAACTAATTCAAGAGCTAACTGATTTGTTTTAAGTTATATAAAACAAGTTATATTAGATCTTTATCAAGTTTTTACTGGAAGTTTAAGTATATTTCAAGTATTTTTATAAGTTATTTTTTGATATTATTTTAAAATTACTGTTAAAATATGATAAAATTTAAAATATTTAACTATTTCTTTAGCTTTTAATATTATATTTTTTGTCTAATTAAGTTTCATAATATTAATAATTAATAAATTGAATATATATACTAAATATCTAATAATTAATAAATTGAATATATATACTAAATATCTAATAAAAATAATATTTAGATACTTGATAGTTAAAATTTTTCAGACAGATTTCATTAATAAAGTATTATTTATAATTATAGCTGATAATTTTTTTATATTAATTATACTTATTATTTTATCTATATT